CGAGGGTCGAGGTTCGAGGGCGGCTCTCTTCCTCCGAGCCTCGACTCTCATCGCACCGTGCTCCTGGAGGCCGCTCGTGGTCAAGGTTCGGGGGATCCAGGTTCGAAGTTTTCGGACGTGCTCCGTAGGCTACCGGAGGTCGCCCAGCTTCTGGAGGCGCTCCAGCGGCTTCGCCTCGCCGAAGGCGCCCCGTGGGGCCCCCGGGTCGACCCGCACGGCTGTCGGAGGCCCGCGCTGTGACCTGGGGGCGGCCGGTCGCCGTGGAGGGCGCGGGGCTCGGACGGAGGCGAACGCCGAGGCTCGGAGGCTCGAGGGGATTCGGGGCTCGAGGCTCGAAGGCGTTTCGCCACGGCTGGGTGCCGCTCGGGATCCTGGCCACAGCGCGCCCCGTGGTGGGCCCTGGGCCTGAGGTTTGGACCTCCGAGCCCCAAGGGGCCCAGAGCCCCTCGCAAGGACGTTTGAGGTTTCTCGCCGATCTCTCGGGCCCCCAGGGTTCCCAGGGCCCTCCCTGGGCCCCGGGACCACAGGGTCTATTCGAACCGATCGATCCGATTTGATGTCGATCCCGGCCGGCTGGAACCGATTCGATCCCGATGCTCCGACGATCTGATGCGGCCCGACGCTCGCATGTCTTTGCTGTGGGTTTTTGGTGCAGCCGATTCGATTCGAAACCTCTCGCTTCGCGGGTGCATGTCCGGAGCACGTAAAGACTGGGCGTCTGGTTTTCCCTACACGTCTGTCGCGCTGGTCTGCCGTGTCGTTCTGCCCGAACTGGGGCGTTGCCAGCGCCATTGGGGCCTATGGAGGGCCTCTGTGAGCTGCTCGGAGTACGTCCAGTCTACTTCTTTGGAGATCTCTGGAGCCACTCTTGGGAACTCCTGGGTTTTTTGTTGGGGGGGTCTGTTGGAGACTCCCTTCGGGGCCTCTGCGGAATTCCTGGAGATCTTTTGGGTGTGTGTTGAACCGTCTTGGGTGGTTTGTTGGGGCCTCTTGCAGGCTTCTTGAGGGCATTTGGGGGGCCTTTTGGGGGCTTCTTGGGGGCCTCTTGGGGGTCTCTTGGGGCTTCTTGGTGGTGTCTTGGGCCGTCTTGGGGCGCTCTTGCGCTGTTCGGCCCCTTGGGAGGCTGTCTTGGGGGCCTCTCGGGGCCGCCTTGGGGCGATCTTGGGGTCCTCTTGGGCCGTCTTGGGGACCTCCCTCTTGGGCTGTCTTTGGGTCCTCTTCTGGGTTTCTTGGACCGTCTTGGGGCAATTTTGGAAGCTGCTTGGACCGCCATGGGCCTGAGAGTCGAGAAGGGCGAGAACGTACATGGAAAATCAATGGTGTTCGCCTTTGGAGGCGCTTTTGGGGGTCCTCTTTGGGCCCTCTTGGGCGTCTTGGGTTTTTTTTCAGCCCTCGTGGGGCCATCCTGGACCGTCTTGGGGACGTCTTCGCCCGTCTTGAGGCCATCTAGAGCCGTCATGAGGCCCTCTTGGTTACCCCAAGAGGGCGAACAGACCGAAGGCATAGATTTTCTGTAGGTTTTGGTAGGTTGTTGGGCCCCGGGAGAGGGAGGCTCGGTTGGGTCGACGGATGTGGCGTAGCGCTGGGGTGGGGGGGGGCCGGGGGGAGAGACAAGACTCCCTCCCTGCCCGCAAGCCGTCTCGCTCAATCCCACCCGCCCTCCCAACACATACGTAGCACCCGAGTCTGGCCCGAGCCTCAGCATATTCAGCAGTCGTCTTTGGATGGGCAGCTACTGGGGGCCAATCCGCCGCCGCCGCCGCCGCCGCCGCAGCCGCCGCCCCGCCGCCGCCGCCGCCGCCGCCCGCCCGCCGCCGCCGCCGCCGCCGCCGCCGCCGCCGCCGCCCCGCCGCCGCCGCCACCGCCGCCGCCGCCGCCGCAGCCGCCGCAGCCGCCGCCGCCGCCGCCGCAGCCGCAGCCGCCGCCGCCGCCGCCGCCGCCGCCGCTAAGTGATGCGGATCGGAGTGAGAGGCTGCTTCGAGAAGGAATTCGCGCGGCAGGGGCGCATCACTTGCGCGCAGAAGACGGAACACCTGACGAGGAGAGTGAAAGGAGTGTGCGCAGATTACAAGGCCCTGGGTTTCACGGCGCGCAGTTGCCAGGCGTATCACTGCAGCGGCACGTGCAAGAAAACACTACCGAAATCGGGGTTCTCCGTGAGGCCTGACAATGTTGCGCGCGACGAAAAGAATGGCACCCTGAAGTGCAAGACGTGCACATGATGAGCACTCGAGCGCCCGTTCTGCGGTTCGTCGAAGTAGGGCCAGAAATGGGACAGCGAGAGGGGGAGCGAAACTGATGGGGAGGAGGAAGCTGAAACGAAGAACGCGCAGAAGGAGGAGGAGGAGGAGGAAAAGGAGGAGGAGGAGGAGGAGGAAAAGGAGGATGAGGGGTAGGAGGGGTAGAGGGAGGCAGGGGGTGAGGCGGAGGAGGATGAGAAAACAGGAGGGGGACGAAGAATGAGGATCCAGGCTTGGGGCCCTAACTGGGTCATCCGGGGGCCTGTGGGGACTACGCCGGCACCCCCAGAACGCATGTGTGCACCCTGGATCTGAGGACCTTGTGCGGGCTTCCTGGCCGTGACGTCTTTCCTAGTCTTCGGTCCATCCCGGCTTGGTTGTGCGTCAGAGTCTTGGGGATGTTTCGTGGGGTTTCTTCGAGGCGCTCTCGGGGGACGAGGGGGGGGGCAGTGTCAGAGTCCAGACGGAACCTCTTTGGGATCATTGCATCTGCCGCGGTCGGCATTCGCAGTGTTCGCCGTGGGCACATGATTATCGAATGGCATTCGGTCCATCCCGCCTCCGTGCCTGGCTTGTGGGTCTGAGGCCACTGGGAGAGTTGATGGGGTCTCGTCGGAGGGTTTTGGGGGGGGTTTGGAGGCATCCCGCCACCGTGCTTGGGTTGTGGGGCTGAGGCCAATCGGATGGTTGATGGGTCTCCTGGGAGGCCTTTCTGGGGCGTCCAGAGGTAGTTTTTGGACCTTTTGGGAGCTTCATGGAGGCCTCGTGTTTTTTTTTGGAACTCTCTCGGAGTTCCGTGGGGGCTTCTGGGGGCAACTTGGAATCGTTTTGAGGCCGAAGGCTCGACATGTCCGTTCGGGTTTGATTCGATTTCGACTACATGCCGATGCAGCCCGAGTCGACGCATATTCCGACTCGATCATTCGCTCCGATTCGATGGTGACTGATCCGAGGCCGCCAGACACCGACTCGGGCTGTGCCACCAGGAAGGGGCCAAACGCTGATCCAAGAAATCAGCGCCGCGCGGACCTCCGAGTGTTTATGTTTATTTGTTGTTTATTTTTCTCTACTTGGGGTCCTTGCCTCCTATTCCCTCTTCTGATCCAGTGGTGGTTTTGGCATCCTCGCTGCCCGCTCTGTGTCTCGCCAGTCTCACGCCACATTGTTTCCGTCCGTGCGGAAACTGCCCATGGCACCTAACTTTTGCATCTGATCGTGACAGCTCCTTTTTTCCTGCGCTGAGGAACGAAACGCCCCAAGGGGTCCTAGAGGCCCATACAGTGGAGGCCCATGCCAAGAAACACCCTGCTTGCCTCAAGGGTGCCCTGGGATTCTTGGGTTTCGATGGTTTTGCGATGGGGAGCGCGACGTCCCCACACCAAAAATCGATAGACGTCCTGGGGTCTCAGGGTTGGGTTTCTTGTGAAAGGTTTCTTGTGGACTGGCCTCCATTGTAGGAGGCGGCACAGCGATAATGCAAATCTGATTTACAATCCTGAGCTGTTGGAAGGATTTTGACCTCTCGGGAGGCTTGGGGGGGCCTTGTGGCCATTCGGAGCCGTCTCGGGGCAGCACCGGAGTCCCCTGGGAAGCCTGCGGGAAGCCACGTTGGGCTTTTCTTGTGCGATCTCGGAGTCAAGCTGCGCTCTGCTCCCTCGCGACGCCCTGGCGCCGACCCCTCTCTCCCCCCCCTTCCCATCGTCGTCCCCCCCTCCCCTCGGACCTCCCGTCCGTCCCTCCTCCCCTGCCTCCCTCCCCTGCCGCTTTCCTTCCTCACCCTGACCCCTCCTCTCCCTCTCTCTCTGTCTCTCTGTCTCTCTCTCTCTCTCTCTCTCTCCCTTTCTCTCTCTGTCTCCCCCGCTCTTCCTCATCCTGCCCCCGCCCTGCCTGCCCTCCTCCCGCTCACCCTGACCCCTCCCCTCTGTCCTCCCTCCCCCCAAGTTCCTCCTGCAGAGATGCCTCCCCTCGTCCTCCCCGCTCTCCTTCCGCGCACCCCGATACGTCCCCCACTTCCCCCCCCCCTCCCGCCCCCCCCCCTCCCTCCCACGCCCCGCTGTTTGCCTGTTCTGGGCCGCCTGCCGGCTCGTGGCTGGGCGCCTCCCGCTGCGTCGGGGGGTGCGGGCGGGAAGGGCCGCGCGCCGTGCCGTCTCCGGGGCTCGAAGGAGTTCGGCACGCAGACTGCTGCGAGGCCGCGTCGGGCCGACCCCTCCTCCCTCCCGCCTCCCTCTCCATCTTCCTTTCTCATCTAAAAGTCGGGCATGTCGTTCTACAGGAGGAATATTTAAAAGTAGGGGGACGATTTTTGAATTATTTTTTGACACATTTGGGATATTTTTGGACTATTTTTTATTCATCCTCCAAAGTCCGCATTTAGGAGGACATGCCCGACCTAGTTCTCATCCTGCCCCCCCGACCCTCCTATGTCGACCCGCCCCATCCTTCATCCTCCCTCCATCCTCCCTCCACCCCTCCTCCCTCCATCCTCCCTCCATCCTCCCTCCCTCCCTCCCTCCTCCCTCCATCCCTCCTCCTCCCTCCCTCCCTCCCTCCCTCCTCCCTCCCTCCCTCCTCCCTCCTCTCCCCTCCTCCTCCCTCCCTCCCCTCCCTCCTCCTGCCCCCCCGACCCTCCCTCGTCGATCCCCCCCCTCCCCTCCCCCCACCCACGCAGCAGGACCTGCCGCCCTACCCGGAGCTGCCGCCCCCCAGGATAGAGGACCGACCGCGGGGGGTGGGGTGGGGGGGGCATTGCCAGGAGGAGCAGGCAGGCTGGGTGCCAGCAGGGGGTTTTCGGCGTTGCAGTGGAGGCCCATGCCAAGAGACGCCCTGCTTGCCTGCATGGGTGCCCTGGGTTTCTTGGGTTTCGATGGTTTTGCCATGGAAAGCGTGGCGTTCCCACACCAAAAATCGATGGACGTCCTGGGGTCTCAGGGCGGGGTGCCAGCAGGAGGTTGTCGGACGTTACCTTTCAGTCGGGCATGTCCCTCTACAGGAGGAAGATTCAAACATAGTGAAAGTATAATCGGGGTACGATTTTTCGATTATTTTTTGATAATTCTTGCATCTTTTCTGACTATTTTTTATTTTTCCTCCAAAGTCCGCCTGTAGGGGGACATGCCCGACCTAACGTTATCTTCGGATCTCGGTGGTCTCCCAGCCTCGGGATGTTTTTCCCAGCAGCTGCGCCTCGCCGAGAGCGCGTCCTTGGGGTTCCTGGATCAGCCCGAACGGCGGCCGGAGACCCGAGCTGTACCTCGACGACCAAGCGACGAGGACCACTGAGGGTGTCTAAGGCTCGGTCGGTTCGGTCGGTTGCCGCGCCGCTGCGCCCTTCTGGGCTGCGTTCGGCCCGTGGGCTTTGGTCGGTTCTGGTTTCGCTGTCGCTTCGATGTGTTTTCGGTATTGGTGTCGCCCTGGACGCCTCTGGGGAAGGGCGGGGGGAACGAGGAGGGAGGAGGCAGGAGCGGGGAGCGATGAGGGAGAGGGAGGATGGCGTGGGAATATGGAGATTGAGGAGGGGTGAGGGAGGAGGCAGGACTGGGCGGCGACGAGGGGGGAGGAGGGGGGAACTGGGGGAGGAGGACTATGGGACAGGGAGGTGTGCGGAGGGAAGGTGCCGATGGAGGAGGATGGGGAGTACGAGGAGGAGGAGGAGGAGGAGGAGGAGGAGGAGGAGGAGGAGGAGGAGGAGGAGGAGGAGGAGGAGGAGGAGGAGGAGCAGGAGCAGGAGCAGGAGCAGGAGCAGGAGCAGGAGGAGGAGGAGGAGTAGGAGCAGGCGGAGGAGGCCAGCCCAAGCGAGTGTCCCTGAAATGGGGCCACCTTTAAATCGGGCCTGTCCCTCTATTGGAGAAATATTCAGGAATAGTTTAGCAAAATAGTCTGGGGACGATCTTTCGATTTTTTCTGGAATATTTTTGAATATGTTTTGGCAATTCTCGTTTTTTCGCCCAAAATCCGCCTGTAGGGGGACATGCCCGACCTAAAGCCACCGCCGGCGAGCGGTAACAGGACGATGCCGACAGGGCAGATGAGGGGGCCGTGACGGTGGCCTTCGAGGGCGTCTGCGGGCATCCCGGGCGGACCATCGATTACAGGATGGGGGGTCCCCAATTCAGCTCCCTCTCATGAGCCTGCAAACCGCTTCTTGGAGCTCTCTTGGAGCGTTCTGGGGCGCTCTTGGAGCCGTTTCTTGAGCCAGCTTGGGCTATCTGAGCCGTCTTGGAGGTCATCTTGGGCTCTCTGAGGCCGCTCGGGGGCCTTTTGGGGCCGCCTTTGGGCCCTCTTGGGACCCCCTTGGGACGTTCTTGGAACCCTCTTAGGGCTCTTTGGGGGTCTTGGGGTCCTCTTGGGGCTTTTTTGGGGCGTCTTAGGGCCCTCATGGGGCCCTCTTGGGACTCTGTTGGGCCTCTCTTGTGGGGCTCTCTTGGCGTTCTCTTGGGGCCCTCTTGGGAGCTATGGAGCGCCTCTTAGGGCCGTCTTGGAGACCATCGATCAAAGGAGGGGGGGTCTTCGATTTGCCCCCCCCCCCCCCCCCCCCTCCAGGGCCATCAACATCGCCTCTTTGGGCCCTCTTGGGGCGCTCTTGGGGCGATCTTGGGCGCTCTTGGGGCCGTCTTGGGGGCCTCTTGGACCCCTCTTGGAGCTTTCTAGGGCCATCTTGGGGCCATGTTGAGGCCTCAACAGCGCATTGGAAGCGAAATGCCGAGACAGCAAACATCATTGATTTTCCTTAGGTTTTTGAATGATTTGGCTTCTCGGGGGGGCCCCGAGGGAGCTCTGAGAGCACCTGGAACCGTCTTGTGGCCCTCTTGGGGCCTCTTGGAAGCATGTTGCTAGTTTTCTTGAGACATGTTGGGCTATCTTGAGTGATCATCTTGGAGCCATCTTGACAGGAAAGGGGCTCTCTGCCACCTCGCGGCCCCACCCCCCGTCCAGGTCCAGGGGAGGGGTAGGGGGAGGGGTCACCCCCTTCCCGAAGGGGAAGAGGGGGTTCTGGAAGAGAGAAAAACGATATCTTTAGACCACCTGCGCCCAAAGGGCTGGTTGGATTCATGAATCATGATCAGGTTTGAGCGTGGACGAGGCAGGGAACCGGGAGCTTGGAGGACGAGTAGGAACAGGACGCGGAGAAATTAGGATTGGAAACGAGGCAGGGGAATGGAGGAATGAAAGAGCAGGGAGACGGAGGATGGGAGGGGGAGGCTGAGGTGCGGGATGCGGATGCGGATGCGGATATAGCTCTCGCGAAGGACGAGCTGGACGAGGCCCTGGTCCAGGCTGCTTTTCGCCCCCCACCTGGCTCCCTTATGGGGGCGCGGTCCGCGCGTTGGAGCAGCGAGAGGAGGTGCTGTGGGTGCAGGGTGGGGGGCATGGCGGCAGGACAAATGGAGGGAAGGGAAAGGCGGCATAACTCAGAAATGAGGAACAGATGCCGATGCTTCTGCTCGTCCTGGAGATCCCTCGTCGCCACGGCTGGACTCCTCGAAATTCTGGTCAGACCGCACCCCGGGAAATGTCAGGGGAGGAAGGGGATCGGTACCTTGTCGGTCCCCCACGGAAATTGGGGGGATGGGGGGGGAGGTCGGGAGAGGGGGAGGGGAGCGAAGGACGAGGGAAGAGGGAGTGGGAAGAGCGGGGAAGGGGAGGGAAACGGTGGGAGAGGGAGTTTGGGAGTGGTGGAAAAGGGGCAAGCAGGTCGGCCACGCGCAGAGCGGGTTAGGGGGAGAGGGGAAGGCTTCTTAGGAGCACCCCTGCTTCTCAGCAGGCGCGGGCCTCGTCTGCAGGTGTACGTAAAGCCGGCGCCTGCTAAGAAGCGGCCTCATTCTAAGGAGCCTTCCGCCCTCCCCCTGCTGGATGGGGCAACACTCGCCCCCCCTTGGATCCGCGGGGGGGGGGGGGGCACGTGCTGTCGGACGGGTGGCGGGGGGGTTGAGGGAGGAGGAGGAGGAGGAGGAGGAGGAGGAGGAGGAGGAGGAGGAGGGAGGAGAGGAGGAGGAGGAGGAGGAGGAGGAGGAGGAGGGAGGGGGGGAGGGGCAAGCTCCGTCGGAAGGTTAGTCGCCCACCCCTCGATTCATACCTCACTCGCAGTACCCCCTCGTTCGCGTCGCCAAACGTAGCAGGGAGAGAGATGTCGTGATCCGCTGGTCTGCGACAGCGGTGGCTGGCCCGCTAGCGGGGATAAAGACGAGTAGCCGCAAAGAAGAGGAGAGTGGGTGCGAGGGGTGCAGAGGCGAGGCTGGCAGGGGAGCAGGGGACGGAAAAACGCCCATGCAGTCTCGGGCCGCGGCGCAAAACTGAGGTCGGTTCGGGGTCCCTTCTCGTCCTCGTCCTCTTTGTCCTCCTCGTCCTCCTCGTCCGCGTTCTCGTCCTCCTCCTCCTCCTCCTCCTCCTCCTCTTCCTCCTCCCTTCTCCTCCCCTCCCTCCTCCTCCTCCTCCTCCTCCTCCTCCTCGTCGTCCTCCTCCCCTCTCCTCCTCCCCCTCCTCCTCCTCCCTTCCTCCTCCCTTTCTCCTCCTCCTCCTCCTGCTCCTCCTTCTCCTCCTCCTCCTCCTCCTCCTCCTCCTCGTACTCCCCATCCTCCTCCATCGGCACCTTCCCTCCGCACACCTCCCTGTCCCATAGTCCTCCTCCCCCAGTTCCCCCCTCCTCCCCCCTCGTCGCCGCCCAGTCCTGCCCAGTCCCTCCGCTCTCCCCCGCCGCGGGATGGAGGCGCCTCCGTGTCGTGCCGCTCGGGGGCGGGGCTGCCGAGGCGCTCCCGCCGCGCGGCTGCTGGGAGGCGAGCCCAGGCAGGGATCGCGCAGGCTCGCGCTGCCCAGGTCCTGCTCGGGGCCTTCGGCGGCCCGGCGCACCGCGGGTGCCGCCCCGCGCGGAGGGGGGCGGCCCTCCGCGACGGCGCGCGGGGCAGGGCGGCGCCCGGGGCGGCGAGCAGGCGGACAAGGGCTGCGAGGTCGGCGCGGAGGCGGTGTTCGAGCAGTTGAACAGCGGCAGGGTTGCCGTGGGCAAGGAGTTCGGCAACGCCAAGCTGGGCGAGAAGGGCGCCGATGAGGCGCTCGAGAAGAAGAAGAAGAAGAAGGGGACGATGCTCAAGCAGTTGAACAGCGGCAAGGATGCCGTGGGCAACGAGTTCGGCAACGGCAAGCTGGACGTCGTTCAAGAAGAAGAAGAAGAAACATAATAATAATATTGATAATAATAATAAGAATAAGACTAATCATAATAACCACCATGCTAATAATAATGATAGTAGTAGTAATACTAATAATATTAATGATACTACTACTAATAATAATACTAATACTAGTAATAATATTAATACTACTACTACTACTAATAATAATACTAATAATAATAGTACTAATAATAACAATAATAATAATACTAATAATACAAATAATAATATTAATAATAATACTACTACTAATAATAATAATACGAAAACATAAAAATAATAAGAACAGCGGTAAGGATGCAGTAGGCAAGGAGTACGGCAACGGCAGCGTGGTGATGCTGGCCGAGTGCGCCGACGCCGATGGCGACATCGAGGAGGTCGAGGACCCCATCGACCCTGATGCTGTGGCACGACTGCTGGAACAGGAGCTGCTGGAGGTCGAGAGGGTGGCCGCGCTGGTCGACGGGCGGGCCGAGGGCGTCGGGCCAGGCGACCTCGCCTGGGGCGCCGTTGCCCCGTCGCCGAACGACTGCAAGCATCAGTGAAGGAACCCCCCTCCTGAGGCCGCCAGGGTCAGAGCCCGCAGGGCTCACGCGCGCCTCGGGCGCAGCGAGTTTTGAAGGCCATTGCAGCGCAGCAGGACGATTGGGTATTGTCACCTTCGACGTCAGCGCCGGTCTTGCGAAAAGGCTTCACCTTCCAATAGCTGTCCGAATTGACAGCTGAGCTTTTTCGCGTCGTGCAGTTCGAATTGCTTTCCGATGCCGTCAAGGTGTTGAGGGGAGTCCTGGCTATGTGGATTTCGATCCGAGCGCGGAAGTCATCCAGATGGTCAAGGCACTGTATGGGCCTAAAGTGTGCACCGCGCGCGTGGCGGAAGAACTTGCGTCCGATTCTTGAGGACTTCGGCCTATGGTCTCCGTGCGCGGATCCACACTTGTATGTTCTCCACGACACGCGTGTCAAGTTAAAAATGGTTCTCAGTGCGCGTGTGGACGACTTGAAAGGTGGAGCCCAGTAGGCTGTAGCCACGGAGCTCTTCAAGCACTTGGAGGGACGCGTGGGCACTTGCACGCAGGAGTGGACCAACTTCAAGCACGTCGGCATCGAACATGTGGGTACAGCAGACGGCATCTACATTCACCTGGAAAAGTATTCTGCGTTGCGGAGGGGGGCGGACAAGAATTTCTAGGTTGAGTTGCAAGACGAGCAGAACGTCAGCGAACATACAAAACGCCATTAATTCCGCGATCCTTGGCGGCGTCGCCTGGCCTGGCCGCGCGGTGTCCGCCATAGCGATGTACGTGCAAGCGCTTCAGCGACGCAGGGCCGAGACGAGAGCACAGGATTTGAAGCGCTTGAACCTAGTCTTGCGCTGGGTCTACAGGCACAAGGTTGGCATATTAATCCGCAAATTGCCGGGGCGTCTCCGTATTGCTGGTATCGCGGATGTAGCTGTCAAAACAATTCCAGAGGAGTCGTCTTGCCTTTCGCTCTGCAGGTGCGTCATTCTTTTCAACGCGGGCTGCGTTTCGATTCCCGCATCTCTAGATGGCGTGAAATTTCTCGGAGTCCTTGTGCAGGCGCCAACGCCGAGTAGTTTATTCGACCTTCACTGGCGAGCTGAACGGCTTGGTAGACACCGTGGAGGTTTTCGTGGTGATTCAGATCTGCCTCCAAGAAATCTGCCACGGTTGCGGAACTATAGCGCGAAACCTGGCAGACGGCATGGGCAATTGTCGACTCCAGCCTCCGATCGACGCAGTGATTGACGCTAGGTGCGTGTTCGGTTGCCTGGTAGCGACGGAAGTTGACGATTTTGCCGAGGGCACCCTGGAACTGCATGTCTTATCGTCGCGAAAATGTCTGCAGTCTGGCACCTAACGTCGTTGTTAATGGACGCGCACGAGGGATGCGTTGGCGGATGGCCTGATGAAAAGGGTCTGTCTTTCGTGACCAGCTGATTGCGGTCAGAAACAGAAGCGAATGCCGCGCGACGCTCGGCGCGGCCAGCGCGACTTTCGTGAGCGGCCGCAACACAAAACACTGGCATCATAGTTGTTGTCAACACTTGAGACAATTGAGAAGCTGCTTCAGCTACTGAGCAATTGAAGTTGCCACGCAGAAAGTCGTGCTCGCCTCAGGGGGGCTGCAGCGAACGCGGCGGCCTGGCAGTGAAAACGTGCAAGGTTTCGGGCATATATCTGTGTTTGTAGCAAAGACCTGTCTAGGTCACCGCCCGCATGGGAACGTGTAGGGCCAGACATGGAAACGTGTTTGTTGAAGGGTGTATCTCGTAGGCGGCGGCAGTCGCGACACAGACTGCCCGTGTAAAATTGAGCAGGCTGTCGACATGAGCTGTCCCTGCAGGCGCCGTGCAATCAAATCGGCAGTCCCATTCGCTTCTTTCTCCAGTGTCCTTCTCCCATTGACGGGTGCTTTACGTGAGCAAGACATCATGATGCAACCAGTGGTGATGAGGCATCACGTGATGCGAATCAGGTCTTGGCCGCCTCAGTAGTAGCAGTGTGGGTGTCATCCTAGGAAACTACCGGAATGCAGCCGAGCAGCGTGCGAGACAGACTACTGATGACAAGCGCTTGGGCAGTGGCGAGTGCCTGGGCACACAAACGGCATCGCGTGTTAGATGTCGGTTTCGCAGTGCGCACACACGGTGTGGTCGGATACCTTTTGTCCGCCCGTGCTGGATATGCGGTTTTGCCAATTTTCCAGGGCGCGGAGGCCAGGCGCCAAGCAGAAGGGGTGGATTTGGATTTTCACAGCCGCCATCTCCCTTTACAGTGCTTGGCCCCCTCCCTCCCGCGCGCCGCCGCTGTTTCGAGCCTCGAGTGCAAACCGCTCTTCTTCGACAGGGGGCTGTAGCAAAGGCGTCCGTATGCAAATGGAACATCCTTGATCCCATTTAATTTAATTTCACATTTCAATTTCATTCCCGTTATTGTTCAGCATCCCCTTCTTCCTGAATGTCTTCCTGGAGGTCTTCTCTCCGCAGTGCCGGCTGGCGCCGCAATTCGGCGCAGCCAATTCGATTCGATTACGTCTCTGTGCCGATGCGGCCCGACTCGACGCTATTGGGACGTATCGCCGATCTATCGGCGACGTATTGGCGATTCGAGCTCGATGTCCCCCTCTGATCGGCTGTTGCTACAGGTGTCCCTGGCCCACGGTGCCCCCAGGATTTCCAAGGAGGCCCCCACGGTCTCCACAGCGTTCTTCACGAGGCCCGGAGGGCCTTAGGGGCTCCGAAAATGAGGGAGAAGCGGGGACATGTTGGGGCAGGGGCACCTGTAGCAACCGCCGATATGAACCAGTCCCTTTCTCATTGTACTTCCATCCCAGACCCAGCGTCGTGAATTTTTCCCTACCTAGGCTCTGCCTAGAGGGTTCTTATTCTCTTTCTTAAAGGGGCCGGGCAGTGGAAATCGCCCCGGGCGGTTCCCCCGGTATCCGCCCCGCGGTTCCCCCAGTTGTGCCCCCTGGGTCCACCCAGCCTAGCTAAGCTGAGCTAAGCTAAGCTAAGCTAAGCTTAGCTTCGCTTATCTCATCTTAGCTTAGCTTAGCTTAGCTTAACTTAGCTTAGCTTTGCCTAACCTAGCTTAGTTTAGCCTTGCTTCGCTTCGCTTAGCTTAGCTTAACTTAGCTTAGCTTAACTTAGCTTAGCTTAGGTTAGCTTAGCTTAGCTTATCTCATCTTAGCTTAGCTTAGCTTAGCTTAGCTTGGCGTGGCTTAGCTTAGCTTGGCGTAGCTTAGCCTAGCCCAGCTTAGCTTAGCTTAGCTTAGCTTAGCTTAGCTTAGCTTAGCGCAGCGCAGCATAGCGCAGCGCAGCATAACGCAGCGCAGCATTAGCACATCATAGCATAGCATAGCACAGCATAGCATAGCATAGCATAGCCAATCATATCATAGCATAGCTCATCATAGCATAGCATCGCATATCGCAGCGTAGCACAGCACATCATAGCATAACATTGCTTAGCATAGCACAGCGCAGCATATCATAGCATAGTATAGCACATCATCATCATCATCATAACAAAACATAGCATAGCGCAACATAGCACACCATATCATAGCATATCATAGCATAGCATAGCGCATCATATCATATCATATCATAGCCTAGCATAGCATAGCATAGCATAGCGCAGCACAGCATATCATAGCATAGCATAGCGCAGCATAGCACAGCATAGCCTAGCATAACACAGCGCAGCCGGAATGCATGTGATGTTGATGCAGATGCAGGTGTAGATGTAAATGTTGATGTAGATGTAGATGCAGGTGTAGATGTAAATGTAGCTGTCATTTTAGATGTAGATGTTGCTTTCCTAACTGCTCCAACTCCTAGGTAGGGTCCCACTGGGATAATTTAACAAGGTTGACCCCCAAAGGTCTGGGCCCCTTCCGTGGGACCGTTTTTTCATCCCGAACCGACTTCTGACGGTCCGTAGGCCTGGTGAGGATCCCCAGAGGTCGAAGATAGCGAAAAACCTCCAGTCGTGTTTTTTTCGCAGCGCGAGGGGGCTCGGATCCCAGCGATCCCTGACTTGTCACGGTCTGAGCTTTCACCGGAGAGAACAGAACGCCATCACCACCGGCCAGGGGGGCGGGCCGCCCCCCCCCGCTGGTGGCACCCCGCTCTGGGCGCGCCCCCAGGCGGGAACGCCTGGAGCGCAGTGCCACCAGCTCGGGGAGGTGGCCTCTCCGTTTGGTCCTCCCAAGTGGGCTCAGAGTAGATCGGGGTCGGGAGATCGCGTCGCATCCCCGATGCATCGCCGAGGCATCGTCGATGCGGCTCGATGTGGGAATGAAGTTCTTCTAGGCCTCCCAGATGGTGGGGGTTGAGTTGATGGGGTCGATGGATCGCACGCATCGCCGATGCACCGCCGATACGGTTCGATATGGAACCCGATTTTCTCCACGACGACGTCGCTGATACATTACCGACGTCGCCCATGCATCACCTATGCATCACCAATGCATCACCGATGCATCGCCGATGTGGCGCAATCCTCCGACCCCATCTACTCGGCCTCCATTTGGGAGGCCTCAAGTTCTAGCACATGTTGGAACAGTTCGTACGGGGTTAGAACGAAGATGCATCCGTTCCAGAACTTTATGGAACGCTTTCGGAGCGTTCCGAAACGCTCTGGGGAGGCCGCGGCGCCCAAGACATCCTCCAGAGACGCCAGATCTCAGAGATGGCCGATTTTATGTCATCCGAGTTTATCCTCGTCCTGGCTGCGTCTTAAACGGAGTTCCAGCACGTGTTGGAGCAATGCTTCCATGCCTTTGCATGCGTACGATCCGTAACCAATTTGGCTTAGAGGAGAGGAGAACCCTGCTGGGGACGAAACGTCAGCCCGATACTGACAGTCTGCTTGCATCATGGTGCTCTCATCGTTCGGCTTGATTGTCTTAGCCTGATCCTGGCTCTTCGTCGGCCACGCGCAGAGGGGAAGAGGGGGGAGGGGGGGAGGCTTCTTGGAGGGAAGCTGCTGCCTTCTCCATAGATGTAAGGCTGGTACCTCCTACGAAGCATCCTTATTCAAAGAAACCTCCCCCCTTCCCCCCGACCCTCACGTGCGCGCCGCCAATTTCTGCTCTCATGAAGTTCGTCCCTGGAGTTCGTCCCTGCCCTGGCCTTGTCCGATCCTGCCCCTGCGGCGCGCGGCGCGGAGGCCTGCACGGTGGCCAAAGAGGCGGCCAACGCGGCTCTCGAGGACGCCCCCGCCACTGCTCGGGAGGGCGCGCCTGCGTCGCTGCTGGCCTGAGCCTGACCATGATGCTGCAGCTAGTGATGATGATGTTGATGATGACGATGCTGATGACGGTGATGATGATGACGGTGATGGTGATGATGATGATGATGATGATGATGATGATGATGATGATGATGATGATGATGATGATGATGATGATGATTATGATGATGATGATGATGCCGATGCTGCTGCTGATGATGATGATGAGGAGGAGGATGACGATGCTGCTGACGATGATGATAGTGATGATGATGATGACGACGATGATGATGACGACGATGCTGACGACGATGCGGATGTGCATGACTGTGGTGGCGATGACGATTATGATGCTTCACGCGATGATGACGCTCCATGTGACGATGATGATGCTGTTGATGATGATGATGATGATGATGATGATGATGATGATGATGATGATGATGATGATGAATGATGATGATGATGACGATGCTGATGACGACGATGCTGATGATAATGATGAAGATGATGATGGTGATGCTGATGATGCTGACGATGATGAGGACGATGATGAGGATGGAGAGGAGGATGAGGATGGAGATGAGGATGAGGATGAGGACGAGGATGCTGATGATGATGATGAGGATGATTATGATGATGATGATGATGATGATGATGATGATGATGATGATGATGATGATGATGATATGGATGAGGATGATAGTGATGATGATGATGAGGATGAGGATGAGGATGCTGATGATGCGGATGCTGCTGCTGATGATGAGGACGATGAGGACGATGATGATGATGATGATGATGATGACGACGCAGATGATGAGGATGATGATAGGGAGGATTAGGAGAGGATGATGAGGATGCGGATGGGGATGAGGATGCGGATGATAATGCTGATGATGATGATGATGATGATGATGATGATGATGATGATGATGATGATGATGATAATGATGGTGAAGATGAGGATGCTGCTGATGATGATAATGAGGATGATGGAGATGGTATTGATGATGCTGATTATGCTTCTGATGATGAGAATTATGAGGATGCTGAAGACGATGATGATGGCGATGACGATGGCAACGACGATGATGATGATGATGACGATTACGATGATGATGATGCTGCTGATGATGATGATGATGATGAGGATGGTTATGATGCTGATGATGATGCTGACGATGCTGATGCTGGTGATGACGATGATGATGATGTTGATGCTGATGCTGATGATGATAACGATGATGATGCTTTTGCTGATGATGATGCCGATGATGATGCTGATGATGATGATGATGATGATGATTCTGCTGCTGCTGCTGCTGATGATGATGATGATGATGATGATGCTGCTGATGATGATGATGCTGATGATGATGATGGTGGTTGTGATGGTGGTGGTGTTGGTGGTGGTGATGATGATGATGATGTTGCTGCTGATGATGATGCTGCTGCTGATGATGATAAATCTGAGAATTATGATGCTGATGCTGATGTTGATGATGATGTTGATGATGTTGATGATGATGCTGCTGCTGATGATGGTCATGCTGGTTATGCTGATGATGATAATGATGATGCTTATGATGATGCTGATGCAGATGATGATGATGATGATGATGATGATGATGATGATGATGATGATGATGATGAGGATGATGATGCTGATGATGCTGACGCTGATGATGATGGTGGTGGTGGCGGAAGTGATGATGGTGATGATGCTGATGCTGATAGTGATGATGATGATGATGATGATGATGATGATGATGATGATGACGATACTGCTGATGATGATGATGCTGCTGCTGATGATGCTGCTGATGATGCTGATGATGATGAAGCTTATGCTGCTGATGCTGTTGTTGATGCTGATACTCATTCTGATGCTGATTATGATGATGCTGCTGCTGATGATGCTGATGCTGATGATGATGATGATGATGATGACGATGATGATGATGCTGCTGCTGCTGCTGCTGATGATGATGATGATGATGATGATGGTGGTGGTGGTGGTGGTGGTGATGATGATGATGATGCTGATGATGCCGATGCTGCTGATGATGAGGAGGAGGAGGAGGCGGAGGAGGAGGAGGAGGAAGAGGAGGAGGATGAGCAGGATGATGAAGAGGAGGAGGATGAGGCGGAGGAGGAGGAGGAGGAGGAGGAGGAGGAGGAGGAGGAGAGAGGAGGAGGAGGAGGAGGAGGAGTTGGAGGAGGAGGGAGGAGGAGGGAAGAGAGGAGGAGGAGGAGGAGGAGGAGGAGGAGGAGGAGGAGGAGGAGGAGGAGGATGGGGAGGATGAGGAGGAGGAGAGGAGGAGGAGGAGGAGGAGGAGGAGGAGGAGGAGAAGGAGGAGGAGGCGGAGGAGGCGGAGGATGCGGAGGAGGAGGAGGAGGCGGAGGAGGATGAGGATGAGGAGGAGGAGGAGGGAGGAGGAGGAGGAGGAGGCTGAGGAAGCGGAGGATGCGGAGGAGGAGGAGGAGGCGGAGGAGGAGGAGGAGGAGGAGGAGAGAGAGGAGGAGGCGCAGGAGAAGCAGGAGGAGCAGGAGGAGCAGGAGGAGGAGGAGGCCGAGCGGGAGAACAAGACAGAGAAAAGAGAGAACACGGGCCAGAGCGGGAGGAGGAGGAGGACGAGGAGGAGGATGAGGAGGAGAAGGAGGAGGAGGCCCAAGAGGAGGAGGAGGAGGAGCATGATAAGGAGAACGAACAAGGAACATGCGGAGGATGAGGAGGAGGAGGAGGCGGAGGAGGAGGAGGCGGACGATGATAATGTTGTTGCTGCTGCTGCTGATGATAATGCTGCTGCTGCTGATGATGATGATGATGCTGATGATGATGATGATTCTGCTGCTGCGGCTGCTGATGATGATGATGATGATGATTGTGATGATGAGGATGCTGATGATGATGCTGTTGTTGCTGATGATGATGATGCTGATGCTGATGCTGATGATGATGATGATGATGCTGATGATGCTGCTGTTGCTGCTGCTGCTGATGATGATGATGATGCTGCTGTTGCTGCTGCTGCTGATGATGATGATGCTGCTGCTGATGATGACGACGATGATGATGATGATGATGATGATGATGTCGACGATGATGACGATGAGATGATGATGATGATGATGATGATGTGATGATGATGATGATGATGATGATGATGATGATGATGATGATGATGATGATGCTGCTGATGATGATGATGATGATGATGATGACTGAGATGATGATGTGCTTGATGCTTGATGTGATGATGATGATGATGATGATGATGATGATGATGATGATGCTGATGCTGATGATGATGGATGATGATGATGATGATGATGATGATGATGATGATGATGATGATGATGATGATGATGATGATGATGATGATGCTGATGATGATGATGATCATGATGATGATGCGTCTGATGATGCGTCTGATGATGCGTCTGATGATGCTGATGATGCTGAGGAGGAGGATCAGGATGATCAGGAGGAGGAAGAGGAGGAGGGGGATGAGGAGGTGGAGGAGGAGGAGGAGGACCAGGAGGAGGAGGAGCGGAGGAGGAGGAGGATGAGGAGGAGGAGGATGAGGAGGAGGATGAGGAGGAGGCGAGCCAGGAAGGAGGAGGGGGAGGAGGAGGAGGAGGAGAGGAGAGGAGGAGGAGGAGGAGAGGAGTAGGAGGAAGAGTCGGAGTCGGAGTCGGAGAGGATGAGGAGGAGGAGGAGGAGGAGAGGGAAGGAGGAGGAGGAAGGAGGAGGAGGGGAGGAGGAGGAGGGGAGGAGGAAGAGGAGGAGGAGGAGGAGGAGGAGGAGTGGAGGAGGAGGAGGAGGATGAAGGGGAGAGCGGAGGAGTCATAGGAGGAGGAGGAGAGGAGGAGGAGGAGGAGAGGAGGAGGATGAGGAGGAGGAGGAGGAGGACGACGAGGGGCGGAGGGAGAAGAATGAGGGGGCTGGTTGATGAGGCGGAGGCATGAGGAGAGGAGGAACGAGGAACACAGGAAGGACAGGAAAGGAGGAGGAGCGGAGCAGGAGGAGGGAGAGGAGGAGGCGGCGGCGGAGAAGAGGAGGCGAGGAGGATGATGAGGATGATGAGGAGGAGGAGATGAGGAGGAGGAGGAGGAGGAGGAGGAAGAGGAGGCTGGAGGAGGAGGAGGAGGAGGAGCAGGATGAGCAGGAGGAGGAGGAGGTGGAGACAGGAGGAGCAGGAGGGCTGAGACGCAGGAGGCGGAAGGAGGAGCAGGAGGAGCAGGCGGAGCAGGAGGAGCAACGGAGCAGGAGGAGCAGGAGGCGGAGGATGCGGAGGAGCAGGAGGAGGAGGAGGAGGAGGAGGCGGAGGAGCAGGAGGAGGAGGAGGAGGAGGAGGAGGAGGAGGAGGAGGCGGAGCAGGATAAGCAGGAGGAGCAGGAGGGGCAGGAGGAGGAGGAGGAGGCGGAGGCGGAGGCGGAGGAGGAGGAGGGGGAGGAGGAGGAGGAGGAGGAGGAGGAGGCGGAGCGATGAGGCGGAGCGAGGAGCGAGGAGGAGGAGCGAGGAGGAGGAGCGTGGAGAAGGAGCAGGAGGAGGAGGAGGAGGAGGAGGATGAGGAGGAGGAGGAGGCGGAGGATGAGCGCCGATGCAGAAAAGGAACCTCCCGCTTCTTTGAAGGCGCGGGCCTTCTCTGCAGATGTAAGGCCGGCGCCTTCTAAGAGGCAGTCCCTCCTAAGAAGCCTTCCCCCTCCCCCTGCCCCCCCTCTGCGTGCCGCCAACTCTCGGTCTGTCAGCCCACGCCAGCCCCACCCGCCCGTGCCGACCGCAGGAGGGGGACGCCGCCAAGGCGCTGGGGAAGCTCACCGAGGCACGGCGGTGCGTCGTCGGCTCGCGTCGTGTTGAATCGGCGACGGCCCCAGCGCGGGCGTTCAAGATTCAACGCCCCTCGTTCGAGTGGGGGGGCGATTGCAAAATTGATTTACCCTGGAATTGATTTGTTCGTCGGGTCTACGAACAAAATAAGTCGAAGGCTCGTAGACCTGCTTGGCACGGGGACGGAAAGCGCACTTACTTTCAGAGCGCACGGGATCGCTGGCTCGTCCGCTCTTGCACCTCTTATTGACTCCCTTCCCCTCGCTCTTGTCCTATCTCAGCCTCGGAGAGTCGCAGAGCTTTCTTTGAGCGCGTTTCTTGTTTTGGAGGGGGCGGTCGGGTCGCGTTGCGTTTTCCGCGTTTGGGCTGCCAGCTTTCCAGAACCCCGCGTTGTCCTTGTGGACCGCTCGTTGTCCACGCGTTGCCGCCCGTCCCTGTGCCCTGGCGTCAAGAACTTATTACGCCGCAGCTCTCTGTTGGGAGCTTTGGTCTTATCAGCTCGATTACGTCACCGCTCGCTCTTGGGAGCCGCGGTGCTAAGAGCCTTTGGGAGTATTATGGGCCTCTTGGGGGGCTCTTGGGGAGCCTCTTGGGTGCCTCTTGGGGACCTTTTGTGGGGCTTTTCGGGGGCCTCTTGGGGCCTCCTGGGAGCTTCTGGGTGGCGGGGGTGAAGGGACTAGGCTGCCTTTGGCCGTCTTTGGGCTCTCTTGGGGGCCTCTTGGGGCCTTCTTGGGGCCGTCCTGGGGCCGTCTTGGACCGTCTTGGCGCCTCTTGGGCCGTCTTGGCGCCCTCTCGGGCCGTTTTGGGGCCCTCTTGGGGGCCTCTTGGGCCTTCTTGGGGCGCTCTTAGGGGCCTCTTGGACAGTCTTGGGCGCCTCTTGGCCCGTCTTGGCGCCCTCTTGGGCTATTTTGGGGGCCCCTTGGGAACATCTTGGGCCGTCTTGGGGCGGTCTTTGGGTCCTCTTGGACCGTCTTCAACGCCATGAAAGGCGAAGAGCCGTACATGCTAAAAACGCACGTTTTCCTAAAGAAAATCAAGGATTTTGGCCTCTTGGGGCCCTCTTGGGACGCCTCGTGGGCGCCTCCTGGGGCGTCGTGGAGGCCTCTTGGGACGTCTTGGGGCCGCCTTGGGCGGCCTTGGGCTCTCTTGGGGCGCTCTTGGGCCGTCTTGGGCGCTTCTTGGGCCGTCTTGGGCCGTCTTGGGCGCCGTCTTGGCCGCTTCTTGGGCTGTCTTAGGCGCCTAAGACGGCCCAAGAAGCGCCCAAGAAGCGTTCTCCGATGATGCCTCGAGCGAAACGCTGTGTTTAAGCCCCGAAGGCCGTCCTACTCGATAAAAAACGAGGCGGGAGGGCAATTAGATCCGGGCCCGTAGACCTGCTTGGCACGGGGACGGAAAGCGCACTTACTTTCAGAGCGCACGAGATCGCTGGCTCGTCCGCTCTTACACCTCTTATTGACTCCCTTCCCCTCGCTCTTGTCCTATCTCAGCCTCGGAGAGTCGCGGAGCTTTCTTTGAGCGCGTTTCTTGTTTTGGAAGGGGGCAGTCGGGTCGCGTTGCGTTTTCCGCGTTTGGGCTGCCAACTTTCCAGAACCCCGCGTTGTCCTTGCGTGGACCGCTCGTTGTCCACGCGTTGCCGCCCGTCCCTGTGCCCTGGCTGCAAGAACTTATTACGCCGCAGCTCTCTGTTGGGAGCTTTGGTCTTATCAGCTCGATTACGTCACCGCTCGCTCTTGGGAGCCGCGGTGCTAAGAGCCTTCGGGAGTATGTTGGGCCTCTTGGGGGGATCTTGGGGGGCCTCTTGGGTGCCTCTTGGGGACCTTTTTGGGTTTTTCGGGGGCCTCTGGGGGCCTCCTGGGAGCTTCTGGGCTGCGGGGGTGAAGGGACTAGGCTGCCTTTGGCCGTCTTTGGGCTCTCTTGGGGGCCTCTTGGGGACTTCTTGGGGCCTTCCTAGGGCCGTCTTGGGCCGTCTTGGCGCCTCTTGGGCCGCCTTGGCGCCCTCTTGGGCAGTTTTGGGGCATTCTTGGGGGCCTCTTGGGCCTTCTTGGGGCGTTCTTAGGGGCCTCTTGGACAGTCTTGGGCGCCTCTTGGCCCGTCTTGGCGCCCTCTTGGGCTATTTGGGGGGCCTCTTGGGAACATCTTGGGCCGTCTTGGGGCGGTCTTGGGGGCCTCTTGGACAATCTTCAACGCCACGAAAGGCGAAAAGCCGTATATGCTAAAAACGCACGCTTTCCTTAAGAAAATCAATGATTTTGGCCTCGTGGGGCCCTCTTGGGACGCCTCGTGGGCGCCTCCTGGGGCGTCGTGGAGGCCTCTTGGGACGTCTTGGGGCCGCCGTGGGCGGTCTTGGGCTCTCTTGGAGCGTTATTGGGCCGTCTTGGGCGCTTCTTGGGCCGTCTTGGGCAGTATTGGGCGCCGTCTTGGCCGCTTCTTGGGCTGTCTTAGGCGCCTGAGAAGCGCCCAAGAAGCGTTCTCCGATGATGTCTTGAGCGAAACGCGGTTTTTAAGCCCCGAAGGCCGTCCTACTCGATCAAAAACAAGACGGGAGGGCACTTAGACCTGCTTGGCACGGGGACGGAAAGCGCACTTTCCAGACCCCCGCGTTGTCCTTGCGTGGACCGCTCGTTGTCCACGCGTTGCCGCCCGTCCCTGTGCCCTGGCTGCAAGAACTTATTACGCCGCAGCTCTCTGTTGGGAGCTTTGGTCTTATCAGCTCGATTACGTCACCGCTCGCTCTTGGGAGCCGCGGTGCTAAGAGCCTTTGGGAGTATTTTGGGCCTCTTGGGGGGCTCTTGGGGAGCCTCTTGGGTGCCTCTTGGGGACCTTTTGGGGCTTTTCGGGGGCCTCTAGGGGCCTCCTGGGAGCTTCTGGGCTGCGGGGGTGAAGGGACTAGGCTGCCTTTGGCCGCCTTTGGGGTCTCTTGGGGGCCTCTTGGGGCCTTCTTGGGGCCGTCCTGGGGCCGTCTTGGGCCGTCTTGGCGCCTCTTGGGCCGTCTTGGCGCCCTCTCGGGCCGTTTTGGGGCCCTCTTGGGGGCCTCTTGGGCCTTCTTGGGGCGCTCTTAGGGGCCTCTTGGACAGTCTTGGGCGCCCCTTGGCCCGTCTTGGCGCCCTCTTGGGCTATTTTGGGGGCCTCTTGGGAACATCTTGGGCCGTCGTGGGGCGGTCTTGGGGGCCTCTTGGACCGTCTTCAACGCCATGAAAGGCGAAAAACCGTATATGCTAAAAATGTACGTTTTCCTTAAGAAAATCAATGATTTTGGCCTCTTGGGGCCCTCTTGGGACGCCTCGTGGGCGCCTCCTGGGGCGTCGTGGAGGCCTCTTGGGACGTCTTGGGGCCGCCTTGGGCGGTCTTGGGCTCTCTTGGAGCGCTCTTGGGCCGTCTTGGGCGCTTCTTGGGCCGTCTTGGGCGCCGTCTTGGCCGCTTCTTGGGCTGTCTTAGGCGCCTGACACGGCCCAAGAAGCGCCCAAGAAGCGTTTTCCGATGATGTCTCGAGCGACACGCTGTTTTTAAGCCCCGAAGGCGTCCTACTCGATAAAAAGCGAGGCGGGAGGGCAATTAGATCCGGGTCCGGCGATGCCACCCCCCTCGAACTCCCCCAAGTCCAATTTCTTCCGACTAACGGACCGCACGCTAACGCGCGCTTTTCGTCATCCGGGCCCGGCGATACCACCCCCCTCGAACTCCCCCAAGTCCAATTTCTTCCGACTAACGGACCGCACGCTAACGCGCGCTTTCCGTCATCCGGGCCCGGCGATGCCAACCCCCTCGAACTCCCCCAAGTCCAATTTCTTCCGACTAACGGACCGCACGCTAACGCGCGCTATCCGTCATCCGCACGCACACACATTCGACGCACTTGTGGCAGATCAGCGAACGTTTCAATTATGGGTAAGTCGATTCTGCAGTCGATCACCCCCTCGACCCGTGACTGCATTCGGTCGACATCGAACGACCCTGCGCTGTCGGAAAGCCGCGATGGTTCCAGCTTGGAAGATGCACGCAGTGTCAGAAGCCACCATGCAAACCGTCACAACACGAACGCGCCCTACCTGTGAGGATTGACCCTTCGCTGGGGGGTGGAAACGACGGCGCGTACGTAGGGAGCGGCCCTCCGCGCCGCCGTTGCCCCCTCCAGCGGAGCGCCGCGCCCGGGCGACGTGGCTGCCACCGCGAAGGTGCTGCGCCTGCCTGCCGAGCCAGCGCCACTCGGTGCCCTGCCGGCAGCGCCTGTCGACGGCTGCGGCGCAGACGTGGGCTGACCACTTGCCAGGCCAACCCAGCCCGAAGGCCCTAGGCACCCCCAGAGTTCGGGTTGGGGTGTGTGTGGGCTCCACGGAGCCCTTTCGATGCTCCAGAGCGTCCCCCCGCTGGAAGCTGATACAGGCCCAACGGCGACCTCGGGTTGGGTTGGTCGGGGAGGGTCGGTGGGTAGCCACAGAGTGGGGGCGAAGACCACGCACCGTCGGATGCGGGGGACAGCCCAGCTCCCTGGCCTGGTGCCGAACAGGCGACGGCAGACGCGGAAGTCGGAGCGGATCCCCTGCACCCATGGGGTCCCGGAGATTCGCCGTAGCGAAGAAAGTGCAGCATGGTGAAAAATCACGACCAGAGCCCCCGACCCCATCTTTCCGTGCCATGTTTCGAGCTCCTCGATCTGCGAGGGTCCGAGGACCCGAAACTAGACGAAAACGACCTGCTCTAAAAAAAATCGAGCCGCCAGGATCTCAAGGGTGGACCAGCCAACCCAGCGCCCCCCCTGGACACCGCGACAGGCAGCGCCGCCCCAGTCACGCCGTCCACCCTTCGGAGGACAAGCGAGCCGAGGCCGCGACGTGCATCGCCCCCACGCTCACGCCGCCCAGCCTGGCGGATGTCGAGGCTGTGGCTGCCGCCGCCGCTGAGCTGAACCAAGCGGCACCAGAACGGCCGAGCCAGCGCCAGACCAGACCGACTCCTGGGGCAATTGGTTGGCTACGCGTAAGAATAACTCTTCACCGG